ATTTAATTTAATGTGACTATTTTGAAGATGATTATGAGTTTTGAGTACTGACCAAGATGGAGATGCCAAGTCATTAACTAATATTATTTTCTATGCAAAGATCGATGGTTACCTACCATTCACATGATAACCTATCAAAATAGCATAATAGTAACCATTACCCCATCAAAATGTAGCAACAACTAAAAACAATTCAAGCTAGTCTAAAATGAATCAGAATTCTCCTCAAGTTTATGCAAATGAACTATTTTAGAATTGTCCTTGAGTTTATGCAAATGAACACTTAAGAACTAAATGAGCATTGTAAGCAATCGAGTCTAGTTAACTCAAATGTCACGATAGCAGCAACAATGAGAACATCTAAACTCCTAAAAGTAGATTATAAAGACAATCCTATAATAGAAAATTAGCCTTCCAAAAATAAAATCTAGACCATATATAAGCTGATAAAAACAAGGAAGCTAAAAAAAATCTTAAATTAGTATCATATGCCAAAAAAACAAAAAATGGTAACTTTCAACAATATTTCTATATATATGTAAATAAATAAATATAAATATATAAAAGTATATTCTACTAAACAATCGATCCATATGAATCCTAATGGCAATGCATCTAGTTGTGTACGTCACACAAGCACCTTTTACCCGGTTATTCTGACCTCTTTCTTAGAGTGCAATATATTTTGGGCTCCTCCACTTTACTAGCAAAATCTTAAAAGTATCCTTGTGAATAAACTCGGGCAACTTCTTGAAACATCCCATGTCTTTTGAACGCAATGAAGCTCATCTCGGAAATGGTTCTGGCAATATAATCTCCAAATCATATGGACGTGAGCATCCTCCTCCTCCCAATAATATGTCCTCTGCAAATATTAAAATTTGTTAAATTAATTAATAACACAATTGACTTTATAAAAAAATGGTAGAGTTCTACCTAAAATATTAATTTTCCCACAGTTAACAAAACAATAGAAAACATATAAAAGTATTCAACACTTCCATATCAAGATCACCCACAAAATATTTAATATTCAATGTTGGTTAACATAAGAATATTGCTAGTAGATGAGAGGTTCTTCAGAAACAAAAAAAAAAAGAAAAAAAAAAGCCAAGTCAAATTCTTTTTGGTTATTCTCTCAATTCCAATAAAACCAACTGGATGGCATGTGAACTTAATTTTGGCTCTAGGCCTAGTTCCCATTTGGGCAAGTTGATGCAAAATTACTAATGCAATTAAAAACATGAAGCTAAAATTCCATATCAAACTGATGCAAAATTTCATATCAAGCTGAGTTGGTAATCAATGAAATGGCTTTCTATTCATGAACCAATGAGAAAGTGAAGAATCATAGTATAATTTTCATCATTAGAAAACACCAAATAGAATGGACAAAAAATCGACATAATTAAGTCAAAAAACATGAAGGTTACATCAAGGCAAGCCAATCAAGAAATTTGTTCAACCCTTTAGTCTTTTCACCTTTAATCTTCATGATTCTGCTACTATGCTTTCATGTTTTTGCAATATCATGCAATTATCTAGATTTTCAATTGCTTTTTTTTTTTTTTTTGTTATATATGATCTGTGTGTGCGGTTTTGGAAAGAATGAAACAAAAGTCTAATATATAATAGATTGAGTTTCCCACAATTCAAGGAAAGAAAATCTCCAAAACTCAATAGTGAAAAACAAAGAAGTCTCTGGTTTCATGAAACCTCAAAAAGTAAAATTATCCACTCTCCATGTAGAAAATGGAAATTTAAAGTTTGAATTACTAACCTATGAATGCAAAATTATACAAGGAAAAAATAGAGATGCTCAATGCACATTCCAAAACATGCAAGTTTCCTTAAGCAAGGTCCACAAGATGTAGCTTTCATTCAATTAATTCACTTTCTTTGCCTTTTTTTTTTTTTTTAGGAAAATAGATACTTATGCACAATGCTTTTTTTTTTTTAATAACAAATGAGCATTGAAATATATAATTAAAATCATACAACAACGTTTGGTAACATTTATCATTTTGTTCGATAATTTTCATACTTGGAAATTCTTCCAAGCGACCCTGTTCTTTTCCTCAGGCCAATTGAACAAAAGAAGCACTAGACCATCATATAAATACTTCCATATTACTGTTGCAGTCCTCCTGAACCTCTCATGGCTAAATGTGCCTCACTAATTTATTATAAGCAGCATTCTTTGACTCAAGTCTGCTAAGGCATTGTCCCCCTTATCCATGCCACGTCTTGTCTTTTGGACAACGTGAGATAACTTTTCTTCAAGTTAAGCATCCAACTTAGGATCAAGCACACCAAACTCAACATCCAATTCAGCCTCCAAATTATGCTTTTCAGCCTTCTCTTCCATTGTTGGATCATCACCCAAGTATTGGTCTTGTAATGGGGGTTGCTCTTACTATTGCATCTGTGTGGGTGGCTGGGTTAAAGTAGGTTGCTATTGCTGTATGGAAGGCTAACTGAAACTAGCTAGCTATTGCTGTGAGGAAGGCTGACTCATTTTGGGCAACTGCGCTATTGTATGGGAACAACCCTACAAAGCCCCTAGATAAGACAACAAAGTTGCCTTTGTGCTTCTGCCGATGGATCAATGGGTTGTCTAGAGGATGATGCACCTCGATTACCTCATCCCATATCTTCATACACAAAATAATGGAAATACATAAGCTTTTTTTTCATAAAAATAACCAAAACTTTAAAGAATCAAAAATCAAGAAAACAAAAATTTTTAAAGGTATAATAAATGGAATAAATTCATACAATATATCATATATAAATATATGAAGACAACATAAAATGGCATCGGAGATCATATATACTATGTTAATTTATCCCACCAATCTTCTAATTCTAGCATGGAGTAAGTAAAGAAATAACTACAGGGTTTTAAAAAAAAAAAAAATTCAAAGGTTCAATTATTTTCAAATATGTTATGAGACATAGAGGGGATAAGCTGTTATAAGATTCCTAATTTCAAATTTTCATTGAGGATAGTACATAAATCCAATGGAAGCTAAATGCCAAATTGAATGAGGCCAAACAAAGTAGTCAATTTTAGTCGCTTAAGTTTAGTATAAATGTAACATCTATTGAACAATAAGATTTTTAGGCATAATTTTATATCATCACCTACTTTCCAGTATGAACACACAAAGATGGACTCCTCCCTTATGGTGTTTGACCAAAAATGGTAGAAGAATTTTTTAGATGGAACAACTTTAAATCTTGCAAGATGAGGACATAACATATCTTCCTATCACAATTACCATATTGCTTTTCTAGAGGTTACATTGACACAATTTTATTTCATAAGAAAATTTTATTTGCCTAGCTGGTGTTGTGGCATTGTAGTTTTGATTTAGAAATACCTTCATACTTTTATGGTGACACCCGCCAAGTTTGGAAACATTAATTTTAATTTGTTATTAAAATTTATTTTCCTTTTAGAACAAATGTTTGTTTGTTCATTACTTTTTCAGATATGTTATCTTTTTTGCCACTAAAATCATATTTTACTTGGTTTTATCATCTATGACTAGCTAGTTTGCCCCAACAATTAAAGCATCTTTTGCTCCTTCTCTAATAGGATGTATTTGAGGAAATTGATATGGTCACCAAGGAAGGAAACTATGGATGGTGTGTTTATGAAGGTTCAATTCCTTTTCATCCAACTACAACTCTATAAGAAAGTACCTTTCTAGGTTCCATAAATCCCATCTCCCCTATAATGGGTTATTTCCATTTTGAGATTGATAAGAATGTTGGTTCAACTTCAATATTTTGATTGTATTATTTGAAGTATAGAATCTATAATAAAGCATCATGAAAAAAAAAATTAAAAAATAGCTACTGTTGTGCATTTATTTCACCTAAAATGCTTAAATAGGTGGAGTAATAAGTCTTTGACCCAATTATTAGAGCACTTGAGCTTCTTGCTACTTGAAGGGAATGTGTTGCCTAAGTCTTATAGTGAAACCAAGAAAATCATTAGAAGTTTAGGCTTAAGTTATGACAAAATACATGCTTGCCCTAATGATTACATGTTGTTTTGGAAAGATGAGACTAATGATGATTTTTGTTCTGAGTGTGGTGCTTCGAGGTGGATTGTTAACACAAATATTGAAGAAGATTCCATAGATTGCACAATGAAAAAGAAAAAGCCAAAAGCTACTAAAATCTTACGATGATTCCCTTTAATCCCAAGACTACAGTGGCTATACATGTCTTTAAAAACTGCTTCTCTTATGAGATGGCATGATGAAGAACGTACTAAGGATGGACTTATTCACCATCTTGCAGATTCCATTGCTTGGAAACATTTTGATGAAAAATATCCAGAGTTTGCTGTTGATCCTCAAAATCTGAGATTGGGTCTGGCTTTCGATGGATTTAACCTATTCAAGTCAATGAATGTCACATATAGCACCTGACCTGTTATACTAATTCCATGCAACCTGCCTCCTTGGTTATGCATGAAACAACCTAATTTGATACTGTCACTGTTGATTCTTGGTCCAAAAAGTCCTGGAAACAAAATTGATATCTACATGCAGCAATTCATTGAAGAGTTACAACAACTATGGGACACTTGGATTGAAACTTTTGATGCTTCTAAAGGGGAGAGATTCCAGTTGAGAGCTGCATTATTGTGGACCATCACTGACTCCAACTCGCGCAATGCTATCCGGGTGAAGTACTAGAGGGGAAAAGCCTTGTCCATGCTGTGATTAAAATACATAATCTATGTGGTTATATCACAGTAGGAAATATTGTTATATGGGCCATTGGAAATGGCTAGATCTAAGGCACAAGTATCGAAATGATAAAAAATCTTTTGATGGAAATAAAGAGCTTCGAATGCCACCTGGTCAAACATCCAGATCAGAAATTTTGAGTCATGCAGATGATGTGAATATAATGGAAGGGAAGTCAAGTCAGCCATTGAAAAAGATTAGTATTTTTTTCACTCTTCCTTATTGGTAGCACAATCTACTCCCCCACAACATTGATATGATGCACACTGAGAAAAATGTCTTTGATAACACGTATGGAACAATAACTGACCAAGATGGAAAAACTAGAGATAATTATAAAGCACGTTGTGACCTCCAGGACATGGGGTTGAAGGCTGATCTGCATCCAAAACCAAGATCAAGCAATAACTCTAAGTTGCTGCCCAAAGCTTGTTATCAAATGACTGCAAAGGAGAAAGATGCATTTTTTAAGGTATTAAAGGACATTAAATTGCTTGATGAATACTCATGTAATATCTCCCGTTGTGTTCAAGTTAAACAACGGAAGATAATAGGACTTAAAACTTATGATTGCCATATTCTTATGGAAGAACTTTTATCGGTGGCAATTTGAGGATTTTTGCCTAAAAAAGTTGCTTCAATTATTATTGAGTTGTGTCACCTCTTCAAATGCTTGTGTGCAAAAGTTCTCAAAGAATCTGATCTTGATGAGTTAAAGTCTCAATCTGCAATGATTTTATGTGAAATGGAAAAGATCTTCCCACCTTCATTCTTCACTATGGTGGTACATCTTATCATGCATTTGGCAGAAGAGGTAAAGCTTGGTGGGCCAGTTGCTTATAAGTGGATGTACCCCATTGAACGGTTAGTTTAATTCTTAATATTTTTTATTTTTGTGATAATTTATTCATTAATTTGCAACAAATCTAAAAAATGTTGACTAATTTATGATTTTTTTAATTGTTTCTAGGTTCCTCCTTACACTAAGGAATTGTGTTTGTAATAGAGCTCATCTAGAGGGATCAATTGTAGAAGCTTATTTGTCAAATGAGTGTTTAACATTCTGCTCAAGATGTTTGGAGGGGGTTGAGACAAGATTTAATAGACCTTTACGTAATGATGATAAAGATATAGGGAGCATTCTAATGAGGTAGAAGAAAACCTAATAACTCCCTTAGGTTGACCATTGGGAAGGGCACAAATACACATGGCTGTTAATCTAAAGAAACAAAAGAGGGTGCGAAGGATAAAGCTTGACTCTCAGTCCTTGCTCCAAGAACACTGATACGTTCTTTTTAATACTCATGAAGTCACTCCCTTCATTGAGTAAGTAGGATAAATACATCCTTCTTTTCTTTTCTTTTTTTTCACTTTTATATGACTAACCTAGCTATTTAATGTTTTTAGGCAAGACAAGGATTTTTTAAAGACACAACATTGCTCACCTCGCCTATCACAGTTTGAGATTGACAAGCATCATTCCTTAACATTTCATGAATGGTTTCGTGATCAAGTAAGTTTAAAAGATAGAAACTAAATGGCTTATGATTTTTGGCTTCACAAACTAATTTGTTAAATTAATATTTTGTGTTAATAGGTTACAAGAATGGAACAACAAGGTTATGCTATTTCTGAAAAAATTAAGTGGCTTTCAAAAGGACCAAGTGATGTTGCTCTGACCTATTCTGGATATTTGGTAAATAGATTAAGATTCCATACCAAAACTCATGAGAAGAACTTGAAAACAAAAAACAGTAGGGTGGCAGTTATATCAAAAACCACAAGTTATTCTAGTAGAAAGGATAATCAACCAGTGGAAGAAGAGATAAATTTCTATGGTGTGTTGCAACAAATAATTCAATTGAACTATTCCAGCTTCTATAGAGTTGTGCTTTTTAAGTGTGATTGGGCAGACACCCACAGAGGATGCAAGAAAGATGAATTTGGTTTTACGTTGGTCAATTTCAATCGTTTATCTCACATTGGTAGTAATCCTAGTGATGACCCCTACATATTTGCTTCTCAGGCTAGTAAAGTGTTTTACATTGAGGATGCAAGAGAAAAAGATTGGCAAGTAGTCAAGCAAGTGAAGGTCAAAGGTGCCTTTGATTTGGGAGAAGTGATACCTATTACAGAAGATGAAGTTAATGGAACAGACATGGCATCCACTTGGGTTAGGAGAGATATTGAGGAAGAGGGGATTATTGTGACACCAGATATGGAAGTTCAAAACTATAATGATGAAGAAATTGATGATTAAATTTGAGTTTGTAGTACAAAGTGTAGTTATTAGTTTCTCTAATTTTGTTCTATAAGTTATTATTTTGTGTAATGTATGACTATAATTTGAAATAGGTTTAATACCCTTTTTGGTCCCTCTATTATAGGAAAAAGCCCTTTTTCGGTTCCTGTACCGAAAAAATCCCCTTTTTGGTCTTTACTGTTCACAAATCCGGCCCCTTTTTAGTCATTCCGTTAAATTTTGGCTAATGTGGCAAGTTAATTAACGGAAACACTCATTCTTTTTTTTTTACTAAATTACGTGGAAAATCCACGTGGCAAAAATTGATGACATGTTAAATTTTTTACCTTTAATTACTGATATACCCTCATCTTCTTCCCCTACTTTTTTTTTCTTTTTTTTCTTTTACCTCTAAGCGAACCCAAGTCTTGGGTTCGCAATATCCATGAAATCTTTGGGGCCTTCCTAGTAGAGATAGATCCAACTAGCATAACAAGATGGCGTGGATCTTTGACCGAAGAGAGGAGACAAACGGCTGAAAATTAAAAATTAGAGGAGAGGAGAGCTTAGATCTGAAACATGCAAGCGAATGCAAGAAATCCTTTAGATCTGCAAGTTTCAAAAATCAAAAATCAAATGTTAGATAGATAGGCATACCTCTTCAAAGTTCAAAGCGAAAGGTGGTGAGAGCACCTAGATCGACGGCGATCCAGAGCAATCGTCCTCAACCGGTGACGTGACATTTTCTTCCTGTTCCATCGAATGGCGCTACTCTATATCGGTGCTTTGAATTTTATTTTTTTATATTTTTTTTTTAACGTTGGGGTTGGATTCGAATCCTAAACTGCATGAGAAGCCCTTTATTAATAACAATTGAATCTTCCACTCAACACCATCTGAATCTTCCCGTTCCATCACCTAAATGAGAATCGAGGGCAATTTCAGCACTCAACACCTTGATTCTACAATTAGGTGAAAGGCTATTGCACGGACATCGTGAACCCAAGACCTGGGTTCGTCGTGAACCCAAGCTCTTGGGTTCGTCGCGAACCCAGGCTCTTGGGTTCGCTTGGAGGTAAAAGAAAAAAAAAAAAGAAAAAAAAAAGGCTGGAGAAAAGAGAAGCCAGGGAAAAAGATGAGGGTATATCAGTAATTAAAGGTAAAAAATTTAGCATGTCATCAATTTTTGCCCCGTGGATTTTCCATGTAATTTAGTTAAAAAAAAGGAATGAGTGTTTCCGTTAATTAACTTGCCACATCAGCCAAAATTTAATGGAATGACTAAAAAAGGGCCGGATTTGTGAATAATAAAGACCAAAAAGAGGATTTTTTCGATATAGGGACTAAAAAAGGCTTTTTCCTATAGTAGAGGGACCAAAAAGGGTATTAAACCTTTGAAATATACTAGCTTGGTTTTTATATTTTTATCTTATGAGTATTTATTACTTTCTCAATTGTTTTTCTTGGTTGAATGATTGTTATAGATGTATTTATGTAATTCTTCTAAGTTCATAAACTTGGCTTGCTTTTTCAATATATATTTTGACATTAAAATATAAATTCTCATTGTTATCATCTTTTTCTTTTTTTTTCTTTCACGATGCCAAAGCGCAAGTGTCTCAATATTGTAAGGGTCCAATCAAACAACCAAGATGAAGCTAGTTTACCCTCTTCTCCATCCATAAACAATGAGGTTGAGCCAAGCCAACAACCTACTCCATCTAGAAACAATGCGAGTGAGTCAAACCATCAACATGCTATCCTAGAAGAAACAAATTCAAATTCTAGAGGTAAAGTTTTTACTTAAATTGTTGTTTTCCAAATTTATAAGATGAATTTATGTGAATTTCTAACTCGCGAATGTATTTATTATTAGCACCATCTCCACCACCTAGAAAGCCAAAAGGTCCAACATTTATGTCCCACGTATGGGAGTTGGATAAAGGTGTCAAGGTCAACGTCATATTTGATGCAAATTGCCATCTAGCTGGTAAAGAAGGTTGCACCTTGACTCGAATCCTTGGTACTATTGCAAGAAAATCAAATGTTGCACCTATTAACTACAAGGAATGGAGGGATATGCCTCAAATTTATAAGGATGACATGTGGAAGATTATTAAGGTAAAAAAAAAAGGTTAAATACCCTTTTTGGTCCCTCTACTATAGGAAAAAGCCCCTTTTTAGTCCCTGTACCGAAAAAATCCCCTTTTTGATCCTTACTGTT